AAAGAAAGAGAGAAAGAGAGGGGGGGGGGGAAACAGGGAAACGCGGGGCGTGCCAAACGTCAATAGCGTCACCCTGCAGCCGTGCTGTCCAGCGGACATGGGCAAGAGGAGGTCGTGAGACAGACAACATTCACAGAAAGAAACGAAGGTGCACGGGCGGAGCGCGGCGGGTGGTCCCACGCCCCTCCAGCCGGCACTGCTGCCATCCGCCCACCGGGAGGGGGCGTGCAGAGAGTCAGAGCGGTGTGGTAGCAACAGCAAAAGCGCCACGGCCGAGGAGAGCCCCTCCCAATTCACGTGGGTCAGCATGTGCCGTCAGCTCACTTTTCTTCTCGTCTGTTGTGATTTCAGACTTCTTCTTACCCCCCCCCCCCCCCCCCCCNCCCCCCGCCCCGTATGGGCAGCTGCGCGTATGAGGGGCACCGGCTTGCGGTGCAGCAGCAGCTGCAATCACAGCGGGAAGTGTGAAAGGCTCGGCGCGCGCGCAATACACCACCAAATGGCATTCTTTTTTGTTGTTGTTTCATGAAGGCCGCACCTGTGTGCAGGTGTCGCAGTCCGTGCATCAAGCCGAGTGTTCCTCGCCCCTCTCTTCACACTCTCACAAACACACGGAACGCACCGTCGCCACAGCAGCAGCAGGAGCAGCAGGGGTTACCTTAATGACAGCTAACTGCAGACAATGTTAGGTATCTCCTCTGTATCTTCAGCGTCCGCTCTCACCACCCATCCCACTCCTTCGTTCCCCACTATGCACGATGGCCGTGTTGTGTCTCTTCTCCACGTCGTTCATTTTCGCTTGCCTGATACCCCCCCCCCTGCAGGAACAACTGAAATGANCAAGAAAGCCGACAGAAGAAATCGCATCGTTGTGTCTGAGGCACACGCACCCGCGCGCCCCCAGCACCCCACTCAACAACAAGAAGAAACAAACAGGTAGCACTGAAGATGGAACCATAAATCAAATGCAATGACGACACGTACAAAAACATCGGTACTTACTCCACCCACTGCGGCAACACGCGCCAAACAGGGCACAGCACATCCTCCTCCGCCACCTTTTCGTACAGAAGCAGATAGCAGTTGCTGGAGTTACGACGCTGCCTTCCCACCTCATCCTCCCTCATTGTAGTCACGCCATCGTCATTGGCAAGTTGCCATTCACTATTCAACTTCACGTCCTCGTTGAAGAGGGTGTTGGGGTTGTTTCCATTTCCATTCTCGCACCCGCGCGTATCTGGTGTGACAGCGAACTCTGCCACGTAATGCCCCGCAGATGGAGAGTGGCCAATGTGCTTCACTACACCCTGCAGGCGATACAGAGAGCGTATGGCAGACAGACGTGTATCTGGTCCTTCGTCTTCCCTTTCATTCTCATCCGGTTTCTCTTGTAGTTTCTGGTGGTGTTTTGACTTCTCAGTCAAGCTGGTGTTTATGTTACCCTTTTCGTCAGGCTGAACAGAGAGCCGTTCCTCCGTGGCATATTCCCTAGATGGCTCTTGTTGTTGCCGTTGCTGATGTTTCTGCATAGCCGCGCGCTCTGCCTCCCGTACAGACGGCGCCAGCTGCTTCTTTTCTCGATCATACTGTCCTTCCTCCCGCAATGCGTAGAGTGTCAGTTCCTCATTGACGCGGACCGGTGTTCTGTCTTTTGAGACGCGCAAACCCATTGTCTTATCAAACGTCGTGGCGAATCGTTTCAACTGAAACACGAGGAGGGATGGTGCTGCCCCCAAAAGACAACCGCCTTGGTGTTGGTGCTCTTTCGAGCCGCAGGCGTCACAGATATACGCGTCGAGTGAAGCAAAGCGGAGGCTCTGCTCCAACAGCGATTGAACATCATAGCAATCACTGGATGTGGTGATTTCTGCCGCAGCACTTGGGGACCCATCCGTCCCGTTCCTCTCATCTGGCGGCAAGTATGGCCTTACATCGGTAGCAGCAGAAAACGTGGCGTCATTCTGTGGTGTGGGCGGAAGCGGCAGCGAATCTGCAGGCACCTCGATCGTCTCTTTCTTCTTCAAGTTCACGGTGAGATTGACAAAAGGATCCTCTGTTGCTATTTCGTGTCCGCAACCCTCGTTGCGACAGCGAATGATGTTCAGAAACGTGCCCTGCAAGAGCTCATTGACCCAGGTTTTTTTTGGATTGATGGAATGGTTATCCGCATTGCTGGTTTTTGCCTCGTTGGCGTCATCACGGAAGAGCTCATTCGCATCTGCCTCAGTCACTGCAGATAGGTTGCTCCCGTTCTCCGCCTTGTCCCTCAATTTGAGCACCTCAATAGACTCCTCTTCTAGTTTGTCTATGAGCGCCATGAAGAACTCGTGCGCGTCCTCCTGATTCCCTGTGAAAAAGCCCCGCAAGAATCCCTGCAGCGGGCTCATATCGAGCCCACAAACTATTGTGTTCGGTCGCCGCAGCAGGCGGGCATAGTTCAGCAGAGCGTTGTGAAGACAGTCCACCGGTTTTCTGCTGCTTGGGTGGCAGGTGGACAGCATGGGCCTGGTCACATCGTTCTTGTTGTCGTTGTTGTTGTTGTTGCTGTTGTTGCCGTCACCGGATTCCCCCCGGTACTCCAATACAGGGGCAGCGAACAAGGCACGGCANTTGTGAAGACAGTCCACCGGTTTTCTGCTGCTTGGGTGGCAGGTGGACAGCATGGGCCTGGTCACATCGTTCTTGTTGTCGTTGTTGTCGTTGTTGTTGTTGTTGCTGTTGTTGCCGTCACCGGATTCCCCCCGGTACTCCAATACAGGGGCAGCGAACAAGGCACGGCAGAAGGCAGGGCTGCGCAGCAGGAACGTTAACACGCTGCAGGCGTAGCAGTCATTACCAGAGTTGATAAATCCACTGGGCTCGCACACCCCGTGGTGTGATGGCAGTCGCGATAACCGATTAGATGCACGTGAGTGGTGGGACAAGCGCAACGTCTCGGCGCTGTCCATTGGGGAACGATGACCGTCAGTCTCAACGACAGGCGGAAGCACAAGCGAAGACGCCCGTTGTGGCGACCCGTTCGGAGAGGCGCACGTCTCCCCATCCACGCAACTCGGCGGTGTACACGTGACGCTCTGTGGAAAATCGTTCGAGTGGTGATGCTGCCGGTACAGACTGGAGCGTGGCGAGACAACGGCGCGCAGCGGGGGGGAAATCGGCAGCAGCTGCGGTGTGGTTGTGGTTGCCGCTGCTTTTCTTGCCGGTGGTGGGGGTCTCGGTGGAAGCTGCGCACGTTGCTCCGCCATCGAGGCAGCAGATGAATTGGTGAAAGAAGTAGCAGCAGCATTAGCGGTAGAAGGGGCGGCACACGGCCTCCGATACCTCCTCCCCCCCTCCTCCACCACAGCCGCCTTCTTCCACGGCGAATCGTGGCCACAGTTATCTGTCACACCTGCCGCTTCCGCGGTTCGGGTCGTTTTTGCTGGGGACAAGCCGGCGGTAACGGAGCAGCGCTCCATATTTCCGAATTGCGGCGAATGCAGTCTTAACGTCGGTAGCGACTGTGGAGAGTGTTCCTTCAGCCGCGAGGCAACTGTTGGCGCGGCGAAACGGCTACCTGTGAGCGGCACCGGTGAATGTGAACCCTCTGACCGCTTTGTGGGCGATGGTGCCGCATAGCGCGACGCCGCGGCCGTAAATGAACTGCCACCACCACCACCGCTAGGAGCAGCTGCTGCAACAGTGCGGGCCGTCGTGTTGCTGCTCCTTTCACTCACAACGCGAAGGCCCTGTCGCACCCCGAGCGAAGCTGTTCCCCGCATCGTGCTGACGCCTACACCACGGGCCGCTGCCGCCACCTTCGCCTCGTGTTGCACTCTCCTTGGCACAGGCGACGCCGGCAAACTTCTCGCGGTGGGTGATTGCTGCATGTTCGGCCGCCATGCGCGGTCGCTGTGAATGGCACCCATATTGGTCGCATCACAGCCACTATACTCACCTTTTGTGTCATGGTTCGCATCACTATAGTCCACATCTGTGTCATCGTTGTCAGTATCACTGCGGCTGGTGCTGTTGTCGCGATGCGGCGTCGCGTGAATGGCCCGGGTGAAGCGGAACGCGCGACTGTGCTTTAGGTAGCCATCAGAAGTGCTCTCTGTGCGCTTTTTCTCCGCCTCCAGCACCTTTCTGCTGTGATTCATGGGCAGCGCGCGGCAGAAGAGGAAGAAGAAAAAGCGTGCTCGCTCCTTTCAGCCCACCTCTTGAACTTGTTTCCTCCCCGCAACAGCACGAAAGCCCCCCACCACCGCCACCACCTCCTCCTCCAAGCGCACGCACGCACGGACTCTATAGGTGAGTGTGGGTGTTTATGTGCGTCTCGCGATGTCCCTCTGTGGCCAATTTTTTTGCGTTGCTGGTCCTCGTGCCGGAAGGGGTGTGGCGAATGTGTATAGATGGAATGCCTGCTTTATGGTATGTAGATACACTTTCTATGCGTGCCGATTAGCCTGTTTAGTTTGCTTGTTTGTTTATTTGTTTCTTGTCCCGTCTCTCGCTTCCTATTTCCCCTCTGGTTGTTATTTGAAGGTGTTTCTCCTCGTCCTCCTTCCTTAGTGCGCCGCCTTTTTTTGTTGTTTTGTTTTTAACCTTGTTACCTTAGGTCCAACACGGGGAGGGCTGTAGGGAGAGAAAGGATCAAGGCGGAGAGAAAAGACACGCAAGAGTCACAGCGGCTGGGCGTTGGATGTGGGCAGCGAGACACAACGCAAACGATAATGCAAGACATACAACCAAAGCAACAAAGAAAGACAGCACTGGCAGTAGGACACTCCAAGAGATATTGCCCTCGAGGATCTATTCTACTATTCCCCCCACCCACCCCTTTGCCGTTCATTCTATTGTGTATGTGTGTCTCTCTCGGCCTCCGCACTTGCCCTCTCTCTCTCTCTCTCTCTCTCTCTATCTCTCTATCTATATCCCAGTTATGCGCGCCGACGATACACCTCCTGCTGCCCCTCATCCTCCGAGGNTTCCCCCCACCCACCCCTTTGCCGTTCATTCTATTGTGTATGTGTGTCTCTCTCGGCCTCCGCACTTGCCCTCTCTCTCTCTCTCTCTATCTCTCTATCTATATCCCAGTTATGCGCGCCGACGATACACCTCCTGCTGCCCCTCATCCTCCGAGGCAAACGAGCCGCTGCTGCCTCCGCCATCTTCGTCCTCCGAGCCACCGGCGAGAAATGCATTCATCTGCAGATTGAGCCGCTGGAGCTCTGGGGGGATGTCGTACGGCACGGCCTGGTGTTGAATACGTTTGAAAAAGTACGCGTATGTGAGCGAGTTGAGTACCTGCTCCCTGCTGTGCTGCGCCGCATCGACACAGCACACGAGAATAGCCTTCGCGTTACCACCAAAGATGGGGCGGAGAAAACGCGCCATGCAGTTTGTGTGGGAGCTTGGCAGTTCGTTAAACGCAACGGCCGCACGCGCGGCGTCGCCCCTGCTGTCATTGTTGTTGTTGCTGCTGCTGCTGCTACTGTTTCCGCCGCCGCTGGAGGGAACGCGTCGCACCTGCGCGGTGGCAGCGACCGCGTCGCAGACGGCCTGCAGCGACTCCTCCACCCACTGCTCCTCCGGTGTGGCCAGTCGCGCCGCTGCGGGTGCTGGTGATGCCGACGCCCGTGTTGCTGCTGGCGTCGGCGGCCCGCAAAGATCAACAAAAGACGCCATCGCACGTCGGTAGTGCCCCTTCTCGTTGAAGCTCTCCACACTGAGGGAGAAGATGGCGTGCGACACCCCACCGCGATGCGTCACTGCCGCGCCACCGTCAGCGTTGCTGCTGTCGCCACCACTCACAGACGCCCGCAAGGAGGCGGCGCGGCGCCACCGCCCCAGCCGCCCGAGCCCGTCGAAGAACACACGCATCACCTCCTCCGCCGTCTCCGCCTTCACTGCGGTTACCTCCTCGCCAATGCCACCACACAGCTGCAGTGCAGCAGGAGCAGCAGAGGGCTCACCCGCCACAGCAGAGACCATTTTCACCAGCACGCTGCTGCTGCCGCCGATAGACGTGCTTCTACCGGGCTGCTGCAGCAAAAGATCAACGGTTTGGTTCATCGCGAGCTCCACGAAGGTGCAGCGTATATTAAAGTGTGCTACGGCCTGCACCACAAGGTTGTCGAAGAGGCCATGGACGAAGAGCGACAGTAGCCCTGCTGTTTGTCCATTGCTATGCAGTGAGGCAGTGGATGCAGCAACAGACGGTAACCGCCCGCGACTCGCAGACCGCCGAGTGTTGCGGAAGAGTTGCTGCAGCAACTCATACTCCAGCATCGCCGCCTTTGTACCGTACAGCACCTCCGTCTTGCCTCCACCAGCGGGGCCAAAGGAGAGAAAGACGGTGTTCACACCCGACAGGACGTCTGCAATGACGCCATCCATGCGAATGGCGGCAGCAAGCTCCTCGTCGTCCATCCCCGCCGGTTGGCCAACGTCATCAATCGCGCTACCAGCACTACCAGAAGAAGCAGAAGGAGGAGGAGCGGCTGTAGCTGTCTCTATACGCTTGCGCTCCTGGAGAGAGAGCGCGGAGTACGCCATGTCCACGACAAAGGTGCGGCGTCGCTCCATCTCCACCACTGTGCACTCGTCTGCCACTACAATGCTCGCCAGATGTGGCTGTTTTCCTTGCTTCTGCTGCTGCGGCTGCCGCTGTTGTTGCTGTTCCTCGTTGCACGAGAGCGGGCGAGGGTCGCGCCCCGCCGTGTCCCAAGCAGCGGCTCCATGGCGCGGCGAGGCGCCCGTCACACGCACCACAGCGCGCTGCCACCCCATGAGCTCCGCCAGCGTGTTCTCGTACCGCTTCTGCAGAAGCTGCGTGGCGGCGAACTCCTCTGCTGTACGCTTCAGGCACATTTCCGCCTCGCTGTGCGAGCGATCGGCGACAGCGGCACGCTCCTCGGCGACCTGCAGCTGGCGACGAAGTTTGTCACGCTCCTGCAGCGCCTCCAGCCGCTCCACGCGCAGCTGTTTGAGCGCGTCGATCTGCTGCTGCAGCGCCTCGCCGAGCCGCTCCGTCTTGCGGGAG